TTTTGTTACAATGTTTAATAATAAATTATTTTGATGGAAAAGTGTGTCAAAACACGTTTCCTTTGCCCATTTAATTATTCAATATAAATTTAAACATACAACACTAATATTTCTGAACATTATTTCATTTCAGGTGATTGTGACTAAGATACAAGAATGTTCACAATCACATTTAGTTCTCTCCGTTACACTTTAGCTCTCGACAAGTTACAAGAACCGTAAATATTATAAATAAATATTAATAACACAAGCTACACACTTTGTAGAATTAGTAGAATAAAAGAGGAAAGTAAATTCAGACTATTTGAAATATGTGCATGTGGTGATGAACATGTTTTGAATTAAAAATAAATAATATAATTTCTAAAAGTAATAAGTACTCTATCTACTCATAAATGAAGATAAATTTTGCTGTTGCTTTTCAAGAAATCAACTCTGAGTAGGCGGTAGGGAAGAGCATCGCGGGCTGCTCTTAAGGGGCACTAAAATACGCGTGATTCAAGACTTTTCGCGCGGCAGTGACGGATAATTTTCCGGAATTTTTTGAAACTATTTCCGGTGAATATGAGCAGCTGAAAGTTTGTTCATGGAATATTTTCACATGGGCATCCAGCTAAAAAAATCAGGGCATGGCTTGACAAGTCGCCTATGACCATTTGACCATTTATGTGTGAGATAATCGTAATACGATGGAATCAAACGCAAAATATGACGACGCAACTAGCCAAAAAGTATAGTGTGGACGGCCAAAATAGTGTAATCGTTTCCACAAGTTGTATTCAAGAACAAGGATGGCTGTTATTTGTCAAAGTATGTATTACCTGATAAGTATTATTGATTATCAACATTTTTTATCAAGTTGATTATCAAAAATATTATGTTTATTTTAACAAAACAGTGATATATTGAATTAGTTTACATTTGCATTGTATATTTTTTTTAAAAAGACACAATATGTTTGTAAAAAATAATGTACTTCAGCTTCCGGGTCAATGACCCCCATCTCTATCAGGTTTTTGTCCAGTTTCCCTGATCCATTGAGCAAATGCGGATATGGCCCCTTGTTTTGTTTCTGGACGTAAAGGTAGTTTCACTATCCACACGATTTGTTCAATTCTCCTTTTGCTTGCAATGGTAGGAAAAGAGGTAAGAGCAAATTACTATTTTGTTAGCAATGCAGAAAAATCATACTTGCATTTCGTTTACCGATGCAAATAAGTTTTCTAAAACTCGGAAACCAAAATATCTATTATTAAAATATTGCTAGTCTGGCGATTTTTTACATTTTTTATTTATTTATTTTTAACTTTTACTCATCTTTCAACTATTTATAGTTAAAATGCCGGGAAGGGGTTCTGGAAGTCAAGAAAACGTGCGCAGATAATCTTCTCCCCAATACGTCACATACAGTTTTTACTGTTTTTTTTGACTAAATAAATCTAAAGCTAAAAGTATAGGAAAATATGAGAATTGATCAACTTAATGCGGTCAGTTTAGTTTGAATGAAGCATTTTGTTACAAACTCTGACCATTATTCATTTTCTCATTTAGGTACTTTTATATAGGCTAACTACTAAGTGGAACCAGTATTTGAAATACTACCCGGATTTACGCTTGTGTTCAGAGATCCTGTTTCCAATGCTAACAAAACACCGGCCGTAACCAGTAGCTCTTGAAAATCTTACGCAATATTCAAATTTCCTGTCCATCATCAGATACGAGTATTACCCAAACGTCACTAAAACTATTGGTAGTTTTAAAGGAAATGCAATCATATCCAACTTTTCTACTGATTAATGAGCGTTTCTTTATTATACAGCACATGATATTCGATCGTGTAATACAAAAAAAAGACCTAATGATACTATATCATAATGAGTACGTGGACAGAACAAAGCTACACAAGGACTAAATTTACTACTTCGTGGGGAAATTAGAGAAACAAAATCTTCATCCTATTACTAAGCATTACCCTTTGAACTCATTACAACTACCACCTAGCGATGGTGAATACTAAGAAAACACGATTTATCCTTTTTCATTACCAGCAATAAGAGTATTTTTCTGTCGAAAATTCGCCGATTTCTGGCGCACAACTAAGGCTCATTCACAATGCAAACGTAAACACAAGTATAGACATAAACATTAACATAAGTGATAGACTGAAGTATTGACAATGTCTCACATAAACGTAAACAAAATAAGTTTATATTAGTTGTGAAACATTCTGGTTTACTATTGCTTGGATGTGAAAATCGGTTTCAAGGTATCGACTGTGTCCATGGCCCATGTGGCGTTAGTTCTATCGACTTCGCTCCAATTTCGATTCGCGATTTTGAGTTACCGTTCTGTGATTGGTTCATTTCTTTTGTCATACTACAGCATAAGCACAGAAGATTGAAGCTTGCAAAGCTTTTAAGTTAACGCCTTACGTGTTATGCTTATGCGAACGCATTGTGAATAAGTCCGCTTATGGACGTAGTCGTAACTTTTATGTTAACGCCATGATTATGCTTATGTTTGCATTGTGAATGGGCCTTTACAAAACGTTCTTACGAAGTACGGGCGGGAAAGCAAAAAGCATGGCGACGGGAACGACGCAGAATGGCGTGACGCGGCCCTGCACGGCGGCGGCGGCGTCACGCGGATCTGT